AAGACCCCAACTACATAGCTGATACTACCAAAGAAAATCCTGGATAACCTCTTTTTGAGCTATTGGAGTCCCAGAGACCATCCCAATCCCAAACATTAAAGGCTTTTGCCAATGCTATTTATTACCCTCCAGAACTTGTTTTTAAAACCCCACTGCTGGAGACACCAATCAGTCATCAAACATGGAGAAATCTAGCTGTACTTAACTAGAAGCTTCACCCCTACTGGCTAGTGTTCAGAGTGTCAAAAAGGTGCTATGCATGCTACCGGAGGAGAAAATAGAAAAATAAGTCACTCTTGAATTCAGCTATGAACTATGTGAGATACAATAAAGACCTGCTTGGCAAGACATGCTCACTGGCATAAATATTATAGGAGTAAACCACTTTTTGATTAAGGCCTGCTCCACAAGACAGAACCTGCATCTAATAACTGTCAATGGGGCCAAGAACCTATGGCTAGATGAGTCACAAGACCTAAGGGAAAACCTACTATTGTTATTTGTTAAATGGACATAGCAATAAAACTACTTCTAATGATTTATTTCTACATGCATAGATAAATGCATCACCAAACTCTCACCAGAGAAGCTTCTTCATGCAGCAGATGGCCGCTAACACAGAAACTCACAACTGGTCAACATGCATAGAAAAAGAGACTTCAGAATACTCAACTCTAAACAGGATGTCTATTATTATATTCCTCCCCTCTCATGGATTAGGGATCTATGAGAAAGACTGTAAGATCCAGAGATGGTGGACATCTTCAAGGGAAGTGTTTTCCACATACAATCAGGCAGATGCACATATTAACTTATAGAGATTGACTGTGAATGCATGCACAAGTTCAAGCCAAACAAAATTTCAGCATAGAAGAGGAGATGGGCACAAAGTTGTCATGTCTCTCCACCCCCTCCATGAGAAGCTAATGGCATTTGATTCTTTTTGTTGTTATTGTAGTTGTTGGTGGTTGTTTTTTGAGACAGAATTTCTCTGTATAACAGTCCTGGCTGTCCTGGAACTTGATTTGTAGACCAGGCTGGCCTAGAACTCATAGAGATCCCCTGCCTCTGCCTCCTGAGTGCTGGGATTAAAAGCATAAGCCACCAGGCCTGTCGACATTTGATTGATTCTTGCTGGGAAAATTGGAGTCAGTTTTCCTCAATGTAGTGATACGTAGTATATCCAAACCACACTCCAGGGCAGGTCCCACACCAAGAAGTAGTCAGCCAATACAAACTAGACTGGAAAAGGGAAGCGGAAGAGGAGGACAGGGTGAAAACAAGAGAGAAAGAGAGGGAGAGAGAGAGAAGATAAAGTTGAATAGGTGGGGGGAAATCTAAGGTATTGGGGAGGGGGAATGAATAAGATCAAATATATTGTATGAAATTCTTAAAGAATAAATAAAAACATTATTTACAAGCAAACAAGCAGATACAACACACACACAATCACTGTAGAGTACTATGAATAGGAAAAAGGAGGATATTGGGTTCAAGGACACCTGGCTATTGTGAGCTCCTTGGGGGGGGGGGCAGCATAGACACAAAGGAACATTTAACTTTAGACACCACAGTGCTTACAATAAGTTGGAGACCAACTGGAAACTATTTTTGCTTTTTTCCCCTTAAGATCTATTTTTATGTGTATGAATATCTTGCCTGCATGTATGTCTGTGTACCACATGTGTGCCTGATACCCATGGAGGACAGAAGTAGGATTGGATCTCTCAGAACTGGAGTTACAAACAGTTGTTAGCTGCCATGTGGGTGCTGGGAAACAAACCCCAGTCCTCTGCAAGATGAAAAAGTGCTCTTAACCCCCAAATCATCTCCCTCAGAGCCCTTTTTCTTTTCTTTTCTTTTTTTTTCTTTTTTGTTTTTCAGACAGGGTCTTGCACAGTAGATTTGAATTTGCTTGAACATGATTCTCCTGCACTGGCCTCCAGAATACCATTATTATAGGTGTGACCTACCACATGCAGCTTTGTGTTCATTTTACAGATCTCTTTCCGAGAATCTCAAAGAAGCCAAGCAATCAATCACAAGTTAGCATGTGAGAAATACCAACAGAGAAACAGAATTCTACTAATGTCAGAGATATTTTCAGGTTCTATCTTTATGATCTAAATTGGCATCAAAATGTGTATCTCTTTGACCATTCAAAATACTAATATCCTTTAGAGTAGTTTTCCCCTTGTCTTGACACAGATGGAAAAGTAATGCAGAATTCTTGGTCATTCAGAAAAATACCTTCTAAAATTAGAGTGCTTCTAGCTACTCTAGAGGTTGAGACGGAAGAATCACTTGGGCCCAAGAGGTTGAAACCAGCACACCAAGACCCCACATACCCAAAAAAGAAGAAAGGGAAAGGGAAAAGCGCACTATTTACTTAAACCCCATAAAGGATCTCCCATTCTTTATTTTTGGTCAAATTATGATAAACACAATCAGTACTCCTGTTTTCTGAGGGGAGGGAAGAGGAGGGAGGGGAAGATAAATTGGTATCACAAAACAAAGACAGCAGGTATAGTGTGGGCTCACACCAGCACCCAGGAGACAAGAGTTAGGAGGACTCCAGCTTGGAAGCCAGCCTGAACTACAGTGTGAGACCCTATCTTAAAAAAACAACAGAACAAAAGAGGGGCATGGATGCACATTCCTATGATCTCCATCTGGAAGGTGGAGGCAGAAACATCAAGAGTTCAAGACCAGTCTGAGCTACATACATGAGACCACACATCAAAACAAACAAAAATCAAGCAAGCAAGCAAGCAACAAAGTACATAAAATAAGTGAAGACTTCAGCTGTGTTTTAAAAGGCCAATCCTTTAACCTCTACTCAGCTAATAAAACCCAGCTAATAAAATTCATGAGTATGAAAACCACCACAAACCTGGTTATACATCCCGTCTCCTAAAGTAGTCACAGTCACTTCTCCATCTCTGCTCCTTCTTTCTGGACAGACTACTATTCAGATTTCAACCAGCAAACTCTTCTGTATCTTAGATAGCTCGGCTATCACTCGAAGTAAGAACTTTTCTTTGGTATAGGACAGTGCTGCTTTACTTCAAGGTAAACCCTAATAGATTTAATAAATCTGAGCTGGGTGTAGTGGTGCACTTTAATCTCAACACTTGGAGACAGAGGAAGATAGATCTCTGAGTTAGAGGCCAGCCTATGCTACAGAGTGAGTTCCAGAAATCTGCATGCACACGACCACTATTTTGCTTCTTTTCTCTGTTTATTTGCAATTACTAGTAGACTGGTCTTCCTTTTGTTTGGTTTTTGCTTTCTGATACAGGCCTTGAACTAGAGTGTTTTCTGCTTCAGCCTTCTACTTCTCTTCTCCCTCAACATTATAAGCATATGTCACCACATCAGGTGAGGCCACTTGATGACTATTACCTTACTGTATACATAAGCATGCACACTACTAGATTCTTGTAAACCATCATTTATTTTGTGCGCGTGTACGTGCAATCAAGCATGTGCGTATGTCATAGCGAATGTGGAGGACAGAGGACAACTTGCAGGAGTTGGTTCTCTCCTCCTACAACATGGGTCCTGGGGGCCAAACTCAGGTTGTCTGTCTTGGTAACGGGCACCTTTACCTGCTGAGCTACCTGCTGTAGATTCTTTTGCTTTGTTCATCATCCCCTAACAAGTGGTAGGTTTTCAGGAAAATGGTGTTGAATTCATAAAAAAAAACTAATGGGCTGAGGAAAAAAAGGGGGTGGTGGTGTAATTCTATCTTCCATTCAAAGAGATTACTAAACTCCTAGAAAGGAGAGCTCTACACTTAACCTCACCGATCTAGAAAATCAGCTGCAATCATCTTTCACTTCTTTCTTTCCACAAAAAGATCCATCCTGATGAGAGCTCCCCTCTTTGAAGCCCCCCCCAACAATAGAACACTACTCTCTCTGCTTGTAGCCACCCTGACAATGTAGATAAGCTTTTCACAGCCTTTTAAATCAAATTGTGTGATCATTCTCACATTTTTCAAATTACAATATATCCAGCTACATAAGGAGTGAGACTCTCACAAATAAATAAAATTCATGCCCATCTTTATATATTTCTGGAAGTCACATTCAAACAGCCCCCTCCCTCACTTCTTTTTAGAGATAGGGTCTTACTAAGTAGCTCAACTGGCCTAACTCACTGAGAGCCCTTGTTTCTGCCTCCCACATGCCAAGATTAAAGGCATGTGCCACTCCAAGGGGTGGGTGACCTAGAGCTCTTAATCCTCTGAGTGTGGCAATTATAGGCTGAGATTATAGGAAGAAGCATCACTATACCCTGCCCTTATTTACATTTTAGTCATGCTGAATGATGTATATGAAGGTTTAATGTAAGCCAGTTACTCAGATCTAAATTATGACTCTGAATCATGAATTCAACTTAATTAAGAGGTCTCACATGCTGTAGGAGTAAAGGACACTGGCCTCGGTCCTCCGGGATTTATTGGTGGGAGGGGTGGCATGACGGGAGGTGAGGATCTTGACTGTATCTTCACTTCCACAGGCGATCCAGGCATTGCTGGCACCCTTTTCTCACAACCAACTGCAAAGAATAAAAGAAAGGGAGGTCAAAGCTCTCTATAAGTAATAAATAGCAACAACAATTGGAAATGAACCTATTTCCCTAGAGGACTATTTCCCTAGAAGTTAAGATGATGCTTATAAAAAAAAAAAAAGGGTAAAACATTGACTCCCTGGAGATATGTTCATGTCCTAACATCTAGCTCTGCAAATGCTACTTTATTTGGGGAAAGGAAAGGACCCTTTAAAAATCTAATTACATATTTATTTATTTGTGCGTGTGTATATGTGTGTGAATTTGCAGCGTGTTCACAAGAATGTGTACACGTGCCATGATATGTGTGTAGCCGCCAGAAGACAACTTGCCAAAGTCAATTCTCTCCTTCTACCATGTAGGTCCAGGGGATCAAATTCAGGTTGCTAAGTTTGGCAGTAAACACCTTACTAGCACAGGATCTTTTAATATGGGGGAGAGGGAGGCTGGAAGGATGGCTCAGCAGTTAAGAGCACTGGCTGATCTTCCAGAGGGCCTGGGTTCAATTCCCAGCACCCACATGGCAGTTCACAACTGTCTGTAACTCCAGTTCCAGAGGATCCGACACCCCTAAAGACATAAATGCAAGCAAAACACCGATGCACATGAAAAAAAAAATGTTTAAGAGGGGCCTAGAGAGATGGCTCAGAGGTTACAGGGGACAGAGGTGTGTTCCTAGCTCACAACCATGTCTAACACCAGTTCCAGGCAATCTCATAGCCCCTTCTGGCCTCTCATATGTGGAGGCAAAACATACATACACATAAGAAAAATCTAAAACATTATAAATAAGTTAAACCTGGCAGGGTGGCACACTGCCTCTAATCCCAGGATTGGGGAGGTAAAGACAGGAGAATCAGAAGCTCAAAGCCAGACTCTATCTATAAAACATTTTGGGTTAGATGAGGCAAAAACCTTGACTCAAAAAAACATTTAAAATAAACCATTTCTCACAAAAGAGAACCTATTAATATCTGGATAACAGGCTCACCTTTAAATTGAACTATATGTCTCTCACTAATTTCTTGTGGTTTTTTTGTTTTTGTTTACTTAAATACCCAAGTAGCAACTGACTTCGATTACAAGTGCAAAGGCAGCCAGGTGGTGGTGGCCCGCACCTTTAATCCCAGCACTAGAGAGGCAGAGCCAGGCGGATCTCTGTGAGTTCAAGGTCAGCCTGGTCTACAGGGCGAGATCTAGGACAGGCACCAAAACTATGCAGAAACCCTGTCTTGAAAAACCAACAACAAAAAAACAAATGCAAAGGCCACAGGAAAGGTTTAAATGAGAAGGTAAAAAAATCAAAGCATGTTCAGAAAACACAAGGCACATCTTAGCTTATTCACCACACTTTCTGATGGGAAAGATGTCCCCAAACGCTGTATTATGTTCCAGCTTGCAGTGGCTATTTTTTGGAAAGGAATATATGAATTAAAAGTATCAAGGAAGCCAAGCACCCATGTTACAAACCCCCTAACAAAACCTATAGTATTCTGAGAACCATGTGGCTAAAATTTCCCACTCTTGTCCCTGGTCAGGATGCTTTCTTTGTGAAATGGATGATCGTCCTATCTGATTAGTGGACTAATGAGCTGTTGCGCTTGCCTTTTTCTTCCTGCCAGTGTTTTCTCAATGCCCTTCAGAGAACAGTTGACACGTTTCCAACTCTTCCATCTGGGGCCCAGCTTTCTGGAGGGGGTGGGGGACAAGAGAAGGAAGGAACTGACAGTTGTCTCGCACTGTTATGTTATGTAGTGTGCATCAACCTGGAGGGTGTCTTTCTCAGACCACCTGTCTTACAGCAAGGGTGCCAAAGGCTAGGCAGAGAAGGGCTTAGCAGTCAAATACACACAGCACTTGGCCAGGGTAACAAAGATGGGTCAGCCCAACTCCAGAACAGTGGGCTGCATGCTTCACCTCCTGAAATCTTAGCTAGTGGATAAAATCCAGCCTCAAGAACACAGTTCACAGGCCACGTTACTTACTTCTTGTTTACTCCACTGCCCACAAACGAGCACCATTACTGTTATTCCTAGTTTCAAATAGTAATAAAGATACGGAGAACGAAAGGGCTGATTTGATGCCTCCTTCTGTTACTCATGGCCTACATAAAATTTAGCAAATAATTTCAGCTTTCTAGGCCTTGTTTTTCAATACAAGTAAATGAATGAAAATAAAAAACCACCTAGAAGGAAAGCTATGAAAAGCAAAAACAGGGGCTGGAGAGCTGGCTCAGAAGTTAAGAACACAGTTGTTCTTCCAGAGGACCTGGGCTTGAATTCCCAGCACCCACACGGTGACTTACAACTAACTGTCTTTAACTCCAGTTCCAAAGGATCCAATGCACTCTTCTGGCCTCCACAGGCATCAGGCACACATGTAGTACACAAATGTACATACAAGCAAAACCTAACACATAGAATAAAAATAAATAAGAACTGGAAAGCTGTCTCTGCAGCTAAGAACACAGCACTTGTTACTTTTGGAGAGGACCAGGGTTTGGTTCCAGCATCCACATGATGGTTCACAACTATCCAAAACTCCACTTCCAGGGGATCTAACACCCTCTTCTGAATTCTGTTGACACCAAGCATGCAATGCAAATACATACATGCAAGCAAAAATAATACACATAAAATAATAAATTGCTCCACATAAAATAATAAATTACTCTAAGCCAGGCTGTGGTGGCACATGCCTTTAATCCCAGCATTCAGGAGGCAGAACCAGGCAAATCTCTGTGAGTTCGAGGCCAGCCTGGGCTACAGAGTGAGTTCTAGGACAAGCTCCAAAGCTATACAGAGAAACCCTGTCTCGAAACCCCCCACCAACCAAAAAAAAATATATATATAGAGAGAGACCCTCTAAAAAAAAAAAAAGAAAAAGAGAGAGAGAGAAAAAGAAAAAAAAAGAAAAAAAAAAAAAAGAGATCAGTGTTTGTGATGGGGAGAATGAGACTGTGATGCAAGACGAGTATGTGCGTTTCTGTGTGGTGACAGACAGTAATTCCCGAGAAAGCAGCAACCACAGGAAGGGGATGGGGGTGGGGGGTGGATTAAAAGATACTTAAAATGACAACACAAGAGGATTTGGTATTGATAAGATCATAGGGGAGAGATGCACACCAACGTGGAATTACTGACCAAGATAGAGAACACTAGTGGTAGAGTATATTTGAGCAGAGAAATTATGTATTCAGTATGGGACATTAAGGTTTTGCTTTTGAGACAGGGTCTCACTATGTAGCTCTGGCTGTCTGGGACTCGCTCTGTAGACCAGGCTGGCCTTGAACTCACAGGGATCCACCTGCCTCTGCTTCCTGAGTGCTGGGATTAAAGGCGTGCGCCACCACTGACAGGATGTTAAGTTTTTATGCTGAACTAATATACATTCCCAGTAGGTAGTTCAATTCAGAAGTTTGGAAATAAAAGAACACTTCAGCTTAGAACTAGAAGTTACTTGCATAAGAATGAAGAAATAGAGGATATAAAAGAAGTAACCTATATTTTAATTTTTATTTCAAAGATTTATTTATTATGTATACAGTGTTCTGCCTCCATGTATACCTGCAGGCCAGAAGAGGGCACCAGCTCTCATTACAAATTGCTGGGAGCCACCATGTGGTTGCTGGGAAGTGAACTCAGAATCTCTGGAAGAGCAGCCAATGTTTTTAACCTCTGAGCCATCTCCCCAGCCCAATTTATTTTTTGAAATAATTTATTTTTATTTTTTACTTTTACATTTATGTGTGTGTGGGTATGTGTCCTCTGCCCATAGAGGCCATAGATATCATAGGCCCTGGAACTGGAATTACAGGCAGTTGTGAGCTGTCTGATGTGAGTGCTGGGAACTCACCTGTGACGTCTCCAAGAGCAGTATGCACTCCTAACCTTATTGAGCCATGTCTCCAGGACCAACTTAATTGTAATTTTGAGAGAAACGTTCCTGTGAGTCCCAGGCTGGCTGGGAACACACATCTAACAGAGCGGAAGCCTTCCACTTCGGATTCTCCTGTACACGGCCTCATTTCTCATTGTTTTTAACCAGGATGGCCTGAGTGCTGGTATAACAGGGTGTGTACCATCACACCCAGCTTCTTCTGGTTTTTCTTGTTTGGTTTTTTTCCTCTTTTATGTTAATGCTCACTGAAAAATAGCTGGCACTGTTACATACTAAGTACCTTTCCCTTTAGAAAGCCTTAACTATTTACAGTTATTTTCTTTTTCAAGCTACTAACCTGTTCCTTTGCATAAGTCACAAAGATAAGCATGAAAACATAACGTGTTCACAAATGCCCAGATTTCATCATTTTGCAAGTTCTGCAATCTTTCCTTAACTGTCTCATGGAATACTTGGCTTTACATTTCTTTGCTGTCATTTCTAGTTCCTAATTCTGGAAATTCACATTTAACTACCTCTAGCCATGTCTTAAATCTAAACCAGCGGCTCTTCTCAACCTGTGAGTCCTGAGCCATTTGGAGTTGTATATCAGATATCTTGCATATCAGTAGTAAAAGTACAGTCATGAAGTAGTAATGAATTTTATGGTTGTGGGTCACCACAACATGAGGAACTGTATTAAAGGGTCTCAGCATTAGGAAGGTTGAGAACCACTGATCTAGACCAAAGCCCCTTTAAGATAACCAATTCACAAGGAAAGGATGAGCAAGTCAGGAAAGGGAGATGGGAAAAAGGGATGTGGAGGCTGGGAGATGGCTCAGCAGTTAAGATGCTTGCTGTTCTTTTAGAGGTCCCAGGTTCAATTCCCAGCACCCACATGGCAGCTCACAATCCTCTCTAACTCCAGGTTTCAGGGGATCTGATACCTTGTTTTAGTGTCCTCAGGCACCAGGCACATTCAAAGTGCCCCCACACACATGTAGGCAAAACATTCATACACAGAAAATAAAAATATATATATATTTTATTTTTTTTAAAGAAAAGGAAAGAAAGACCAGGTGTGGTGGTGCAAAAGTTTAATCTCAGCA